TAAGACAATGTTAAGACTATGGGTAGCGGTAATCAATTAATTATTCAACGTTCTACTGGTCAAAATATTATATTTTCTTTAAACAATTTCAATGTTTTATCGATTTTTCCTTTAAATTATGACATTTCGAGTCATAAAAACTAAAGTACTGGCCCGATTTTAATAATTCTTTTATTTTTGTTATTCAACTTTTAGTTTTGCATAAATTTTGTATTGGGACCATCTCTATATCTCTTATGGTTTAGCAAATAACTATGGTGTTTGGAATTGTCTCATATTTAATATACCACGTGACCAATTTCTACTGATTAGGTATGGAGAATAAATCGCGGATATGGCCCTATTATATGCTCTTTACAGAATTTAAATACCTCTTATAGTTTAATAGATATGAGAATTCTACGAGCGAACGAATATATTGACCGACTCTTTAAATATCTAAAAGAGAATAATTAATTTTCTAATTTTCATTATAAATTATATTTTTGTCTAAAAGTTGAGATTTTTATAAAATATGTATAATTTTCTATTGAATATCAATACCTATTAAAATCATTCTAAAGAACATTTAATAAATTATGTAATAATATATAACACAAATAAATAACAATTGTCAACAACGGATCCAGGACACTTTGTTCATAACATGGGTTAGTTCACAGAATATATGGTTGATAACACATAATATGTTAATTCATATTAATTCATATTAACATATTATGTTTTACTGTAAGTCATAACTGCTGTCACTGTTATAATAATCTATGCAAATACTGAATTTTTGGCTAATATTAAATATTAAAACATTTATTGATGAACAATTAAAAAATTGATATTTTTATTAATATCTAATCGTTCAAAAAGTATTGACGCTTATGAAAATCGATTATCTCCTAAACTAAATGAGCTAGATCAAATCTGTAAAAAGTAGAATAGAGTTCCATATGATAAGTTTTTTGTGGCAAAAAATTATTAAAATCACGTGACCACAACACAGAAAATTTTGGGTCAAATCGATTTGCTATGTTTTTTGCCCACCCCGAGGGGGGCTAGGAAGGGGGTGGGTATGTGGCTGGATAGATGACATATGAATGTATATGATAGCAAAGTTTGATTAAGATTTGTCTAGCCATTTAAGAGAAATCTGTGATTCTGTTAACATTAGGTCTATGGGAAAAAATTGTTCTGGAGTCGAGTTTTTATAACTACGAAAATGTAGTATAAAATAAGCAAAATTGGGGTAATTTTGTTCAAATATTGTGTAAATTCTTTTGAATATATTGTTCGTAACGAAATAATATCTATCCTATGTTTATGAAACTTTCATATCATATACATTCACATGTTATCTACCCAGCCACATACCCGCCTCCTTCCTAGCCCCCCTCGGGGTGGGCAAAAAACATAGCAAATCGATTTGACCCAAAATTTTCTGTGTTGTGGTCACGTGATTTTAATAATTTTTTGCCACAAAAAACTTAACATATGGAACTCTATTCTACTTTTTACAGATTTGATCTAGCTCATTTAGTTTAGGAGATAATCGATTTTCATAAGCGTCAATACTTTTTGAACGATTAGATAATATATCATTAGTTTTCCGAAGACGTAATCAATTAAAATTTTATTTGAAAAGCATGTGGTTAGTCTACCCATTCAGCCCTGAACGCTGATGGAAAGTGGCCGATGACGACAGGCCAGAGTGCGGTACTTTAGAAGACAGGCCAGAGGGCGCTACTGTAGATGACAGGCCAGAGGGCCGTACTGTTGACGACAGGCCAGAGTGCGGTACTGTAGACGACAGGCCAGAGTGCCGTACTGTAGACGACACGCCAGAGGGCGGTACTGTAGATGTGAAAGCGAGGAACCGATTCTACCCCTGGAGTGATGGACTCATCCAAAGTTATCGTCGATTTTGTCATATTTTATTAGACATAAATTATTGTAATATCATTTTCTATTTATTTAACTGTTATTTTTACTCATCGATTTCAACTTTCACTAAAAAGCCAATGTTAGGCATACACTTTCAATGCATTGTTTCGCATTTCACTCAATACTGTTAATCCCTTTTGTATTGTTAATACTGTTGTCGGCGAAACTCAAAAGCATTCTTACTTTCAATTTCAGTTTTTAATTTCATTTTTTCAGTTGAGATCCGGGTCTAGAAATCCAGGCATAGATTCACTTTTTTAATGAGATTTTTGAGCGCCGATTGAGAGTCAGTTTGCTTTTTGGACTTCAATGAGTAGAGTATGGTTTTGGACTCGAGAGAGAGAAGTCCAGTGTTTTATCATTAGTTTTAGTTTTACTTTCAATTCGCTTTAAAATGTGAATTACTTTTAATTGCTTTTAAATTACTTTGACTTTGATTTAGTTTTATCGGCGATTAATATCGTCTTTTATTTCATTTGTTGTAATTGTAACACTTTTCGTCGAAAACTATAATAAATTGAAACTTTAATTAATAATTGTCGCGTTTATTGTGAACCGGATGAGCCGGAAGTGGTCACTGTATTCGGCTTAAGACATACTTATGTCACAGAATAACACCCGCCGAAATAGCCATTGTTTTGTTCGAGGTTTTAGTGATAATTGCCGATCAGTTAGAGGTCTTTTGGGATCAGATTAGTGTCCAAAGTAGGGATAGACGGGAACTTAGGTGTAGTCTGAATGAGAAGTGCACTGAGAGTTGTGTCGCCGAGTCCTAGTATTGCGGAGACAATTGATTCCATGAGTGATAACTGTAAAGTCGAGGGTCACTGAAATACGAGAAGTAGATACGCGGCTACAGATGACAGGCCAGAGTGCCGTACTGTAGACGACAGGCCAGAGGGCGATACTGTTGATGACAAGCCAGAGGGCCGTACTGTGGAAGGCTGGCCAGAGGGGGGTAATGTAGACGACAGCCCAAAGGGCGGTACTTTAGACGACAGTCCAGAGGGCCGTACTGTCGACGACAGGCCAGAGGGCGGCAATTTAGACGACAGTCCAGAGGGCGGTACTGTTGATGACAGGCCAGAGGGCCGTACTGTAGACGACAGGCCATAGGGCGGTACTTTAGACGACTGTCCCGATGGCTGTGCTTTAGGCGATTCAAGTGTTGACGACAGGCCAGAGAGCGTTGCATTAGACGACAGGTAATAGAGTTGTGTTTTGGATGAGTCAGGCGTTGATTTAGCCATTTTTGTGTAAAACTCGGGCGGAATGAGTGAATCAAAAAATGTGGTCAATATTTTTGACAACACCATTGAGTAAGTTTTGAAATGATGTGCAGGGTAGGACTCTTTGAGTTTATCGCACGTGGTGGCAGCCGTAACGTTGTATATCTCCACTATTCTCGTATACGCCTTCGAATAGAGCTCTATTCTTTTCCGGGCGTAATCCCTGAAACCATCCTGGTCATCGTGCATTGCAATTAATTCATTAAAAAAGTTACGCGCTACACTGTATATAATAATAGTTTTAATTAATAAGGGAAATTAGATTAATGATATAAAATTAAACAATAAACAAGGTTAAATTTAACAAATAAATATTAGCTTATATATACCATAATATTTGGGACAGGTCAATTTTGCTTTGTGTATAAGCTTCGTTTAGGTAGCCAATCAAACGGTCTCGGAGTTTTTTCGACTCGGTCAATTTTCTATTGGAATGTTGGCGTATTTCACTTGTTTGTCCTCGGGCAGTTTGCAATAATTGTTGAGATTGTCGTATAACATGATGGTTGGAGTCGGCATAATCACGTAGCGCACTTTTGCATTTAAGTGCAACACACAGTAACTCAATGCGGTTGCAACATCTTTGTAACTGTAAACAGGGTAATTTTAAAATTAGAATTTATTTATTTTGCAATTCAAAAGGAAAATTGTAATTTATAGGATCATTATTACTACTACTACTACCTTGCTATGCAAAATTGCATTGATACCTTGAAAATGTATAACTTGGGTAACTTGAAAATTAATTTTCATGAAGCTATCTAATATTAATTGTGAATTATTTATTTATTGTTTATTAATTAATTTAGATTTAATGCCGCCATTTATTATAATCAGTCAAACATGACATACAGTATACCTACAAATTATTTTTACGTGATAAGTTGCCCTGATTTTTGCGCTCTTCCCTAATTGTGTCCACACTTTCGGCACATTTCACTCCATTACCGAATTTCTCGTACCGAATGACCACATTTTCCACCGACACGTCAGCCGACTCTTGCGAACTATATATCACACCTAATAATCATATAATAAACAATAATTGTTATTTATGTCATTCAATATTTACAATAATTGAACATGCACAATACCTTACTTACCAATTAGTGCTAACAAAATACATATAACTTTATATGTTTTCATTATTATTATTTACAATACAATGGACATTATATTGTAAAACAAATAACACATTTAACACCGTAAACGCATATGCTAACTGTGTAATTATTTAATAAAAAGTTATTAATATTAGTCCTTATTTACAAATTACAGAATATTAGCAAATATGGCATATGTCAAGTTAATGAATTTTTAAAAGTGTTTTATAGTAGTTAAGAAATATACACACAAAAAATATAGATAAAGAAAATTGTCATCGAAACAGACAAAGTATTAACAATACGGTTGGAAATATAAATAACTTAAAGTACAAACAATAAAACTAAAATAACAATAAACATTTTTGAAAATTTTGTCAAATATTAATAATTGAATAATTATTGTAAGAGTAATACATAATTTAAATTTTACATAAATATTCGGAACATAATTATATAAATATAGAATTAATAAAAACCAAATTAATTAACTGTAAACACAAAAAGGTGTACATTTTGCATATAATTTATTGACTATTTATGAATATATTGTAAAACATGTCATTAAAAGCCACTCAAAGGTTGATTTTGTTTCCCGACACGAGTTGTGCTCTTGATTTCCAAAAAAGCTATCATTAAATGAAACAATCATTTCATTAATACATTTCTCAGACTATTGGACCAAACGGTCACTACAAAGCCATACATAATACTTATCAAACTTGTGGCCAAACTTCCTATCAAGCATTGCCAGCACTTCATTGGCGGCGCTCTCATGAATGGTGTCCTTAACGTCGACGTAATCGTAATCAGAGGCCGCGAAGTGACACGTAATGGCTTTGCGGTAGCCTTGGCTGCGATTAGCGCCCGACCCGTGGATCAGATTCGGGTGAAACAGTAGGCAATCGCCCGCATCGGCCTCAATGTGGACCCGATTCTCGCTGCCCGTCATGTCTTTGACGCCCTGATAGAGTGCATTGAAGCCGCCCTCCCATCGGGGGTAGTCGTGCTCCAGAAGCGGGCCCTTATGGGTGCCCGCAATCACTGACAGACACCCGTTGGCCCGATTCACGGCCTCCAACGCAGTCCACGCGACGACTATCCGGTCGGCGGGTGTTATGGGAACCAAATGCATGTCCTGATGGAGCGGATGTCGCGATGAGTTGGCGCCAGAATCGGGCGGTTTGTTGATAAGCATAGTGTGAACGGCCATCACATTTGGCCCGCAAAAGGCCTCGACGTATGGCAAGAGCCGCGGGTGGAGGCAGTAATCGAAGAGCTGGTCGTCGTTGAATAGATCCCACAGTTTGTATACACTGTTCTCCGATTGCGACTCTTTGGCCGCCTTTACCTCCTTCTGGACGACAAGACCCGGAGGTGTCGGCACTCGACGGCTGGCGATGTCGTGGAAGCGTTTGCTATTTGTTTTGTGATAATTAGAAACTTTGTTTTGTCATTTAATTTTGGTGTTAAAAGTATTTACGAGTATTTCTCGATGTCATGCTTTGGGATCAGATTCTTGATGATAATAAAGCCCTGATCTTCGTATTGTTTTTGCTGCTCTGAACTCAACCTCGAGTTACCATTTATGCTGTATTTTAATTCACCGCTTTTTGGATTAGTCTTCGGGAGACAAGAAAATAGTTTTTATTTGTAAATTAAATAATGAATAACTGATGAAAAATGTAATAAAGGAGACAAACAATTACCGCAATTGTGGCCAAACCTCGGTTTTGGTTTCTCTCAGACCAAACGTTAACAAATAATTTGCACACATTTTGACCACTTTTTTGCATTTGAAATGTTTTGGTAATTATAGCAAACATTTTACAAATTTTTGGGTGAATTTGGTGTTGATTTTCAGTTGTTGTCTAACAATACTATTAAATGTTGGCTAAAATTATGTAACGTCTGTGGAAAAAAGTCAATAATTCAATTAATTATTTAATTAATTTTTGAAACGTTAATTAAATTATTGACTACAGTATAATGTAACGTCAATTGGTCAGAATTTTTATTAAAATTTTTATTAAAATTTGAGTATAAAATAAACTCCTATTTAAGTACCCTAATATCCCATAGACAACGCGCACCCCGTGTATAACGCGCAGTAAGAAATTTAACAATATTTTTGAATGAAAAATCATTTATAGATAACGCGCACCCCGTGTATAACGCGCATATTGGCTTAACCGGATAAAAACGGGACTTTTATGTAACGTTAAGTTTGACCAGGTTTAAATTTTTTTTGTTATGAGCCAAGTCATCGGTTCCAACTCTCATCAATGCATGTGTTTAATGTGTTTACATTTATGTGAAAATAATATTAAATTTATACCAAAAAGTGGCAATTTTACCCGAACTCCCGATACCGAATGCATTAACAAATTTGACCTATTTTAGTTTTTACTCATTAGAATTAGCAAATTATCTCACAAAAATAATTTATCAGTTTTAGGTGATGTATTATTTACCAACTAATGATATCAACTGTTTAAAAAGTAAATACCGATTGATTTTGACCACAAAGACCGCACCCAAACGGGCCGACCCGGAAAAGTGGGTAATCATGTGCCAAATTATCGGGATGTGTCCAATTCATTACTTCCATATATAATTTATTACATTTATTTTGTCAAAACTCTTGTTATAATAATTATAATTATTTGTTATTATATTGCTTTATTAATTAATAGCTGGAGCACTTATAATAAATGTCTCACTTGGCATAACGGATATTTATTCCATATCTGATGTGGACATGGTAATAATATTGTAATTAACATGATGACCAATTAATGTGTGTAATATAATCTATAATAGGACTATAAGATTGGTGTATACTTCAGGCAACAGTGGATGGATAGTCGGCTAGCATTTAACGGAACCGTCGATGAGATAATTTTAGGACCCGATTATATGAAACGTGTTTGGATTCCCGACACATTTATTCCCAATTCTCGGCAAATGACACCACAAATGTCCATCTCTTCGGAGCCAAACATTTTCGTTAAGGTCTATAACAACGGAACAGTATTTCTCAGCATTTAGTTAGTATTGACACCATTTATACATATTAAATAATTGAATTGATAATTAAGCGCATCTATACTGGCGTTATGTCCAATGGATTTGACTAACTTTCCGATGGATAGCCAGTTATGTTTGCTTGAAATTGAAAGTTACGGCCAAAACAATGCGGATATTGAGTACCGGTGGTCAACCAAAGAGGGTTACGATGGATTCATTCTCGGTAGTCCCAATTATCAGTTTAATAATTTTCAAATACAAAACGAGTTTAAATTAAATAACGTAGTTCGAAAGAATTCGGGTAACAAAAATAATAACTACATATTAATAGCCTAGCTAAAAATGATTATTTCTCATTCGATAAACAGTTCGCTCGGATATTATGTATGCGTTTGCACTCAAACGATCGCTTGTTTATTACCTGAATCAGGTATATATCCCAGCGTTTCTAATTGTGGTCATATCGTGGATACCATTCTGGATGGACCGGAAGGACAATCACGCGCGGGTGGCACTCGGCGTGACTACAGTCCTCACGATCACCACTTTGGTCACCAACACTAGCGCAACGCTGCCTAAGATATCGTACATGAAGTCCATTGATATCTATTTGGGTTTCTGTTATGCTATGGTTTTCGCCGCACTCCTGGAGTACGCGGTCGTCGGCTATCGGGAGATAAGTTCCAGTGATGTGGCAGTAGTTGTGGTCAGCGGCGGCAAAATGAGAGCCAATACAAGGTCTGTGGGTCCGAACCGGACCAACACAATAGACCGACACTCCCGGTGGATATTCCCTTTGGTTAACATTATATTCAATTTGATTTATTGGTTCACATATCTGTCCATTTCGACACAACCGGTCGATCCAAACAAACGTATTAATGCTCTTTAAATTTTGAGCCACCATTCAAATTGGTTATTGAATTGTCATTAATTATTTAGCTCACTATTACTTATACAGTACACTTTGTATGACTACAACAATAACTTTAAATTAGAAGCTGAATGTGGTTTTAAAAGTCAAATATGAATTTGTCAATAAGACAAATGTTTTCCACTCTTATAAATTATGAAACACTAACAATTGTAATTGTAAGTAAATATACGTACCTATATTTTAATAACGATGCATAATACAATATAAATTGATTATAAATACTAAAGCGCACGTTTAAACTAGATGAAACTAATTTGTGGAACAATATACAATAAAGCTTAAATTAATATTTAAAATGTTTATTTAAATAAATTAAATGCTTAAATGTATTTATTAGTAATTTATTATATTTTTTAATCACAAATTACACCAATTATATATTGATTACATTAATTGTTTAAAAGAGTTTAAATATATGTAAAATAATTATTTAATTACTTTTTCTTCTTATCCCAATCACCGGAATAACCGCATAAACCGCTGCCACAGCCGCCGGCGCCGCCACCGCCATAGTTACCACCGCCGCCGCCACTGTGTCCGCCACCGCCCGACACACTAATAGATCCCGAGGCGCTAAAACTCTTACTATAACTATGACTACCGCCACCATAGCCTCCACCGCCCCCGTGACCACCGCCGCCATATCCACCCCCTCCGTAGCCGCCGCCACAATTGCCTCCATAGCAACCGCCACCACCACCTCCATAATGGCCACCTACATTGTAATAGGGTTAATTAAATGTTACTTATTAAACATATTTTAATAATTTTTATTTTATTTGTTATTATTAATAGTATTGTTAATGTTTGTTAATAGTGTTAACTGATTATAATCTGGTAGTTATGATTTATAAATATGTAAACTCACCAAGTACAGTGCGAATTTTATTCGCAACTTTATGTAAAACTGCGATAAAATATTGAAATAAAATTGTGTTTTAATTCAATGAAGTCTTTGTATATTTTATAGTGTTTGAAAAGTTTATATCAAAATATAAAAGTTTCAAATAATTAGATGTGAAAAGTGTTTATTTCCCAAAAACTTATTTTTCGATCATTTATCCAAATATTCAATTGTTTTTTGACTATAAATCTAAAGTTTAGGGAAAATCTATGTGTCTTTTGTGACTTAAAGTATAAAAATATTCAATAAAATTATTTGAGTATTTGTGTAAACATATGAAGACTTACGTCCGCCGCCACCGATTTTGATGATAATTTTCTTGGAGTGACCGCCGCCTCCATAACCACCTCCTCCGCCACCACAGCTATGACAGACACCTCCGCCTCCTGT